GGTCTTTTTGCCGTTTTTCACCGGTCTAAAAAAGATTTTTGGGCCGGCCGGTCACCGGTCGGTCCGGTCCGGTCTGCCGTTTTGAACCGGCCGGCCCGGCCTCTTATTTTTAGACCGGTTCCAACTCTGAGTTAAAGTCAATATTTTTAAACAGATTGTACGACAACTATTTCTTAAACTATCAAGAAAATAATGGTGACGAAGAGCAACAACATCAGGAATAAAACATTTTAACTATCGATTGTATGAAACATTATCAACGAATGATTGAAACACCGATATCAAAATATTAATAATGATTTATTTGATGAATATTTGGAAGTATATTCCATTGCGTTGCAGAGTGATATCGAAGGTTCATTAACTTTGTCAGTTTTTAAATGAAGTAACAACATCAGTAAAAGCTAAAACACATAATACATCAAAACTGAATAGTAAACGAATGACTACTACAGCGACAACAACCACAATAACATTTCGATGTGCTTAGAAATCAACAATATTTGATTTGATTAGATTCTGGTAATAAAATATCATTAGGATTATTACAACAAAATAATGATATAGATATTGATGGATGGCGTAAACTGTTAAATATATTCAACAAACAATTTCCGTTATCAAGAATTAATGATAGTTATCGCCAAATGAGTATCATACTGCTACAAATTAAAAATTTGGCCCACGCCGGAACTGGTGGTGCCATTTGCATTACTTTCCTGCAAAGTCATTGTATTACTATGTCAAAGAAGAAAATGCAGAAGAGCAAAATACCGAAAAGGAAACCGTCGAAAGCGAATAATGGGAAGAAATCGAAAAGAAAAAGATTCCTTTCTGTTCCATGAAACTCGCTGAAAGAGATATTTTATTAAACCATACAGCGAACGAGAGCAGAAGAAAAATGAGTGATCCGACTGAAGTGATCCAATTTTTTGTATCTCCTGATCACGAACGATAATTCAGCCAGCAGCTGTTCTGTGTTCATTTCTCTATCCAGAAATCATCCTTTGAGTGTGTCAAATCATTGTTAAAAAGCTGTTGTATTTTCTGATTGCTTTTGGAGTCGATGCTTCAGCACCAAGTTGCATAGTGATGCATTACGCGTGTGGTTGGCGTGAGACGTTCACCGTTGCAGCCACTCTCTGATTTTTATTTTCTATAAATTGACTTTTCATTTTATTCAGAACATCGTCGTAGAATTTCAAAATATGAAAATTCGGTGTTGATTTTATAATGTTCTAGATAAATAAATAAATAAATAATTCTCAAGATTCTTGAAAGTCCACATCGAATTTCTAAAATATTGGAAAATCGGCTTTAAATTCCGAGAGTCTTGGGAATTGTTTATAGAAAGTCGACCCCGAATTTCTAGAATTCTGGAAATACGAGGTCGAATTTTCAAGTTTCTTGTAAATTCAATTTTCTAGCATCTCGAAAATATTCAAGGAATTTATGTATGGACTATTTGAAAATCGCCGAGCATTTTCTATATATAATTCTCGACATTACAGTGTAGTCTGACGAGAACCTTAATGATAAAAATACCTATGTCTCTTTCGATGATTTTCAAGGAACAGAAAGGAATCTTTTCCTTTTAGACGTATTCCTCTTTTCTTATCGATATTTTCCTTTTCGACATTTTTCCATTCGACGTTTCCCACCAAAAGTCTTGGGAGGAAAGTGTTCACAAAAGCAAATGCTGCTATGAAGTAAACAAGAACACGACATCAAGGAAGAAAATCACCAAGAACAGTTCTAAGCTCCGGTCTTCAATCGTTTATACCGGACAACGCTGCGGTATGTAGGTGAAAAACATATAGCAAAAATTAGCTGGAAAAATACAAGTGCTTGAGAAATAGTCCACCTTTTACGAAATTTAACAAAGTTACAAGAGAAAACGGGGCATATTCTTAATTTACACTCTTTCAACTGTCGATAAGTCCTCACATTTGTCAGCTTGAACCTATATACGGGGAGAAGTACAATTAATTTTCAAGCTCACTAATTTTTCTAAGAGGTATGCTAGGTGTAAGAAGTTCCAACTTTTGCAAGTTTCACCCACATCCAAACTTTGTAAATATGTTCATCTACCTCTGTTATACTTGGATAAGGTTGCATAATCAAATTTGTTTTCAGATGAGTTTTCTGAAACAGATTTTCTAAGAGATCTTTGGAAAAGCAGATCGTCTGTAAACATTTCCCAATAGACTTGTATTCTTTTTCCCATGGGCTGATAGCCCGAGGTATGCTCTTCAAAGTGGGAGTCGAGTAGGGACGTGCTTATCCGCGGTTCGAACGTTGTACCGGATTTCCTACGAATACCAGGACTGGTGTCCGCCGTCGGCGTCTCTCATTAACACATTCAGTGCACTAATAATTCACCGTACAGACGTTATACTTTTTCACAGCTTCTGCAATTGCTTTTGCTCCTGCATCTGATATATTGTTGTTCTCAATACGAAGATCTGTTAATGTTTGGTTTGTTTTCAAGGCTTCTGCAATTGCTTTTGCTCCTGCATCTGATATATTGTTGTTCTCAATACGAAGATCTGTTAATGTTTGGTTTGTTTTCAAGGCTTCTGCAATTGATTTTGCTCCTGCATCTGATATATTGTTGTTGTTAATAAGAAGATATGTTAATGTTTGGTTTGTTTTCAAGGCTTCTGCAATTGATTTTGCTCCTGCATCTGATATATTGTTGTTGTTAATATCAAGAGTTGTTCTGTCATTAGAGCTTAATTTTTCTAAAAGTTCTTTCTCTTCCTTGGATAGTTTTGTCGGATATGCTTCCGATATACTAGATGTTTTCAACTGGATTCCAGCTGGTGGTGGCTTGGCCGGAGATAACGATGAGAATTGTAGCTTTGAATATCCTGAAGAAGGAGCAAATGGAGCTTGAAGCCAGACATGCGGAGTCTTTATTTCTCTAACATGAATACTGTGTGACTTTCGTAGATCATGCTTTACTGCCAACTTCACAACATAGTACTGGTCAAAGAACTATCGGGTATTTTGATGAACGCTTTTTGCGTGATGTATTACAGTTATGCTGCTTGATTACGATACGGTAATAGGTGAACTTGCTAACTGTTAAGTTGAATTATCCCTCAGGAAAAATAATCTGCGTCAAAATTTATTTTAATATATGTAGAAAAATCGATAAGATCTGACTCAGCTTCACAAAAATAGACTATTTATGTCCTCGCAGACTCTTAAATTTCTCTGTCGACAAAGTAAACTAGATGCAATCATAACTTACCATCTTTTGCTTGGTCGTGGAAATCGTCGTGTACTCTGATCTTTTGAATCCAAGAAGACTGTTGTTTATCCTCTTCGACGCGGAAGTTCGATGGTTCGATAAGTTCATTTTTTAATTCTTTTAAGTTATCCATCCACTTGCTGAGATCTCGTTCATCATAATCTTCATCGTCTCTACCTTTACGAACTCTATTCGTTATCTTGAGAAATCTATCTATAAGCCGGTCCTTGTTTTTATGTAGCAATTTAACAACATCAGTTCGACATTGATCAGCGAGTTGATTAATTTTACGAATAGAGTCTTCCTTCCATTTATCAATTTGTTTCAACAAACGATGTGAGTCATTTTCGTTTGGCATTTCGAGCTGCTGTTTGAGCATATCGTGTTCATAAACAACATTGTCGAGTTGTTTTGACAAATCTTGACGATGATCATTGAAACATCGTCGGCAGAACTTTTCTAAACAGCCATCGCATGTGAGTATACCAGAATTTTTCTCACATTTCGCACATTGAGCCTTTGATGTAGTTGCCATTTAAAACTTGAATAAAATATTTGTTCTTCTACGGGGAGAAAACCCACTCTGTTGCAGTCTCGTATTAATGTTAACAATAAAAGATCTTACTTACGGGTTAGGACATACAATAACTCGCAAATTATTGTATGTCCTCACTCGCGGACTGGTCATTCATAGTTAACTAGTACACATCCTATATAACTCGGGAAGAGAGAGTGATAGAAGTGTGAAACTTTCAGGGTATATA